CCCTGGGCATTCACAATCCTACCAGGCACATCTTGGACAAGAAAGGGCTTGCCCTGAAGCCCTCACGGGAGCTCTCCTCTTCCCACTGTTATGCACTGTGTGCTCTGTTGGCAACAGACAACAGTTTCACTACCTCCCGTGGCAGTTTATGGGGTAAAGTTTACTGGGTACCTATGGAATGCAGGCATGGGACCAGTCCCCACGGTCTAGAACAGGCTGTCTGTGCGGAATGTAGAAGTTGATAGTTTTGTTGCAAATTATTATGGCTGCTCATAATTATCCCTCATGGGGGAGGGAGGACAGGCTAAAAAATAAACCCTCTTCAAACCCTAATCCGGCGCCTAGACCGTCATTGCTTCTCTTTCAGGAGTTGTTTGAACTCAGACCTGTCTCCACAGCCAATTTACACCTCTTATCTGATCATTTCAGATGGAAGGGTGAATTGCCCATGTCTGCCCCTGTCTATGGCAATGGTGTTAAAACCAAAGCACCGTCAAAGCTCTTTAGGCAGAGGAGGGGCATGTGGTGTAGTTTATAGGGTCTGGGTTCTTTTGGCCCCAAGCAGTGTGGACACTGGGGCTGGGAGTTGCCACCTTCTGAAGAAACCCATTGTCAGGGCCTGAATGATTTCCTGAGCGTAACCTAGTCCCCTGCGGACCACAATTAACTCCAGCAAAGAGGAATTTCGTGGTCAGGCGCTGACAGGGAATGGCTAGCGCCAGGGGGCTCTCCTCTCCGTCTGAAACCGAAAAGGAAGGGAGGTGGAGGGAGGGAGGCAAGCAGTGAGCACATGCCAATAAACCAGGACATGCATTCCCTCCCCTTCCAGACAAACTGAACCAGAGCGGCAGAAGCAGCAACATGGATGAGCCGGATTGTCACAAGCGTATGTTCGTGATACAGTTTTTCCTATAAGTCAGTCAGGCAACTGCTTGGCTAGGCTGCCTGCTGAGCAGCCCGGCACCAAGAAGTTAGATAAGAGTGAACATGGTAAGTATGCTATTCCCTCAGCTTTTATTGCATGCAGGTTCACTAAGAGTAGAACATCAACATACATCAATATCCTACTCACAGTCTAACAATCTAAAATATAACACACACACACACAGAGCAATCAATGGGGAATAATGAACCCGGGTCTAAGACTCAGTCTGCAGGTCTGAGAGCGGCACGAGGGAGTCCAGAGTCTTGCAAGGAAGGATCTTTGGAGCCAGGTGGGCAGCAGGGCAGACGAAGTCCTCAGCCCACCAGGCCAGAGCCTCTGGTGGCCGGTGCCAAGGCAGACAGGCGTGGCGTGGAGTGCCTCTTTCTCAGCAGTGCTCTGGAACCGGCCTCAGTTATACCTTGACAGTGTTGCACTCCACCCTTCTGAGTTTTTTGATAAGTGTCTTGGCACCCTAATGGCAAGTGGGGAATGTGCCCAGAAGCCTATCCCTGGGTGGTCCTACTCTGCAGATGTGGCTGTTCTGATCACATGTGTAGGTATCTCAGATGGGTTTGCTCTGACATAGATGGTTTCCCTCTTGAACCAAAGTGTCACGGCTGACTGGAAGTCATCTTGGTTGACATGAGTGACTCCACTTTGTTTTGTGTACTTTATGCTATCCTGATCGGCCAATGTCATTGTATTGGTCCTGCTCTCCACAGATGGATCCCCTATGCTTGGTTTGGGAAGTTGGTTCCACCTTAATACTCCCTTGATTCCCTGGAGGGGTCTACCGATTTTTTCTACGACCATCCCCCTCCAGCCCTGAAGTCTTAGCTCTGCAGAGTGCCCTCTCCCTGCCCCTAGCAGCCAGGCGCCCTGACCTGGTGGGGAAAACTACGGTGCAGTCAGCCCCAGGGGAAATGTGGGGGCAGTCATTTAATCACAGCCCACCTTGCCTCCCTTATATTGTGTTGATATTAAAAAGAAATCAATCAGTAAAAATGAAGCATTGGCCGTGAATATTTCTTTTTCTCACGTGGAAAAGCAAAGAGCCAGGCGGCGGGGGAGGGGAGGCTTGCCAGCTACTGCAGAGGTTTCTTCCAAGCAGGGAACTGCAGCGGCGACTTAACTTTCTGGCAATGGGCAGCCTCTAGGAAAAGCCGCAGGCTTCTCCCTGGTGGTGTCCTTAGTCAGGAGGAGGGGAGCCGGTGCTGGAGGAGTTAGAGTCTGCCAACTTTGCCCAGGCTTGAGCCTCGGTTTTGCTTTCACTGGGAATATTTTTGCCTAATAGAATGTTTATGGATCGCTCGGCTGTTTCTGCTGCGTAGCCCAAACAAATCGATGCGGCATTAGAGACGGCACTGGGGGTTGGGGTGGGCTGGGGGCCACCGAGTCCGCACCACCACGTGGATGCCCCAGCCGCGTGCTCTTCACCTGTTTCGGAGCACCGGCGGGCGCTCGGCGCGCAGCGCTACTAGAGGCGGTGCAAGTTGCGCGCATTCCCGCGGCTCCTTTCGGTCTCCCTCTCTCCGCCCTCGGCTCGGAAATCCCACCCCGACTTCCCGCCACCCAGCACAGCCAGAGCTCGGATCCCCAGCCCCGCCGGCCCCGGGCCTCAGCTTCAAAGCCGGCTCTCCAGGGGTGGAGGGAGGTTTGATGCAGTGCGGAATGGAACACGGGAAGGCAGAGGGGGAGCCTCGGACACGGCCTGACCAGCGGGGCCGGAGTCTCCTAGCCCGAGCAGAAGGGAGACAGAAAGACGGTGGTGCAACGATCTGGCCGGGCAGCGTGACAAGGAGTCGGGGAGCCTGGTGCGCGCTACCCGCCAGTCCCAGAGGCCGCACGCCGCTAGTCCATTTGCTCAATTGCTCCTCCTCTTTCTCCTTCCACCCTCCTTTCTGACTCCTCGGAATGGGTTCCCGCCGTCGCTGCAGCCGGCTGGGCCCAGCCCCTCCCGGCGCTCACCGGGTGAGTCAGAGGTCTAGCTGGGCCTCGCCCTTTGCCACCCGCCGCCAGCTGCCCGGGAGCTAGTGGGCTGCTCAAACGGAAAGCGCGAGCAGCCCGGGGCTCGCGATCGCCTTTTCCGGGGGCTGGAGAATATCCCTGGGCGGGTCCCAGCTCCGCGTCTCACCGAAAGGGTGACTTGCCCCGCGCTCTGCGCCTCTGGGCTTCTCTCGAAGTGACGTAGCGAGGCTGCGGGGTGAGGGTGGGGGGCTCTGCAGAGAGAGCGGGAGGCAGGTGGCGGAGCGGGAGTGGGTCCCGTTCCGTCTCGCGCACACACACGTACACACTCCACACAGTGCTCAGGGACAGATGTGCAAACATCTGGGGTAGAAGATGTCCCCCGTCTTCACGACCCCTCCTGCTCTGCCCAACACACAGAATCTGAAGTTGTGTGTGTACATGTGTGTGAGTGTGTGCGCGTTTTGCCGGTGTGTGCGCCAGTGTCTGCGCACTCGCGCACCGGGGCCTACCAGAGACTGTGCCTGAATACAGAATACACTGTGGGCATCCTTACCGCGCGCTAGCGTGCGAATGCACACACACACACACACAGCGAATCACACAAACATACATAATTTATGCAGCCTTCAGGTCTGTGGGAGGTAATCTCATTTCACTTCAAACTGGGAACTTGGAATTAAGGTAAGAAGGAATGGGGAGGCACAGGTAATCTCTCCCCAAGCAAAGACCCGTCATGGCAGAGAAGGCTTAGCAAACGTGTGGATTTGAATAGCAAGGGCAATCTGGAATTTTCTTCCCCCTCAAATAAACATCCGAGCTTAAAGTAGGGTGTGTGTGCGCCTTAGGAGGTGAGAACCAGAGTACCGGGCACAAACTTCCCCTTTAGTCAAAGCTGGCTCCCACTGGACCCACCAGCCGTTGTGATGGAGGGAGGCGCCCAAGAGGCTGCAAGGGGTTACCCTACGCCGCAGCTGTAGCTTTGGGAATGCTGCTGGGTAAGCACGCAGGAGGGCTTTTTCTCCTTTCTCTTTCCCCTCTTTCCTCCGGAGGTGGTTTCCTCATTCTCAATCACCTGTAGCAGCTTCTGAGAGTTTTGTCAGATTCCAGACACTGTTCCCAGGGGGAAGAGGCTAACCCTGGAAAGTGGTGTGGGGAAGGAAGGACAAGCCCCACCACAGATTCTCAGAAACCAGAGATCCCTGCTCAAGTGCACCCCGGTGCCAGCTGCCCCTCCACACACACATACCCGCACAAATGCTGGCCCTGGGCATTCGGGGCCTTCAGTCCTTATCTCTGCACTCAGTCCACACACCATTTTTGGCAGTGGCTGAGGACAAATTCCACTCAAAAGTTTCTAACCACTTCACAAGAGAGACCTTGGAGGGCCACATAGTTTAACTAATGATAATTTTTTAGAAGACCATGATCTACTTTCTCAGAAAACACATGGATGCAGGAAAGAGAGCAGGGACGAATAACCGCCTTGGTTGCCAGCAGCGCCCAGCTCCAAGCCCCCTAGCGCAGCCGAAAGCCAACTTGCTCCATCGGCCCGAGCCCTGCGATTTTGAGGCGTATCCGCACATTCTGCAGAGAATCCACAGCACTGGAAAACCAGAACTAGTCTCTTGCCTTTCCCAAGCCCTTCAGTTAACATTGCTCAATGTAGCTAAGTGGAGGGAATGCAAATGATTTATATTTCGCTGGCGAGGTTGAAGAAACTCAAGGGAGATGTGCTCTGCTTCAAGAAAGGGAAAAAAATTCCCAAAAACTGTAATGCAAAAAGGCTTTGTAGTATTTTTAAACCTTTGATTCAGTCCATATGTGACATCTGAACACCGCCAAATTCTGTCTATGTTTCAAAACACCACACACACACACACACACACACACACACACACACTCTCTCCTAGCAGGAGAATAAAGTTGGGTTTTCGCAGCAGTGGTGGTGTAAGGTAGGGAGGGCCGGCTGGGGTCTCTATTTAAATTACTCAGTATTGAGGAAGCCTCTTTTCTGTGCCATTCCTTGTGCTCCCCACCCCCTGCATTAGCAGTTACTTTTAAAGGGAAAGCATGTTGAAATGAATAGAAAAAACTTTAAGGGGCTTACCTGGTTGGCCTCTCACTTCGCGTCCTGAAAAGTAGAGAGCTAAGAAAACCCAGGTGAGAGGCAACATATCCATTTTGGAGAAAGAGGCTCTCTCCAGAGCTGGATTTGTAGGTTTCTTGTGTAATTGTAAGTCTTTGTGTTTTCTCGCTCTTATGTCTTCCTTACAGTGTCTTATGCAGAGGTTTCTGATGGTCAGTGTTTCCTTCCTGGGTTCTGGCGGCCCGTCTTCACCTTTATTCTTGCTGGATCCCCACCTCACCAGGAAGAGGGTCGCTCTTGAAATCAGCCAAGAGGGTGCAAACCGGGAAGAGGGGACGGGTTTCCTCTCTTAAAAACAAAACGGATCTATGTCCTCTCCAGTTCCTCAAAGTATCATTTCCTTTATCCTACAACATCACGAATATTTCCCGAAAGCCAAGCGTAAAAAAAAAATTTGAATAAAAATAAAAGCCGAGACTTGCCTCGGGCATCACACTGCCCCCGGGCAGCTGTGTGATCTCAGAGACGTAAACTGACACACATCCCCCGGCACCCGGGACCCACACGAGGGCGGAGGCACCCACCGCCGCACGGCCGGAGTAGGAGGCGGCTGGCTGCCCGGCTCTTGCCCTCGCCGAGTTCCCCTAGCGGGATCCTCCCCCAAGGGCTACACCCGTTTAGCTAGCCTCGAGAAGGCAGTCTGAAGGAGGAAGCCGCTGGTGCTGCTGCTGTTGCTGCTGCCGGGGCGGCGGAGGCGGCTGGGATCGCCTGGGAGTGAGCGAGCCCCTCTCCGAGTTCGCTCGCGCCCGCCTTCACCTCCACCTCGCCCAGCGCCTGGCCGAGTGTCTGCGCGTCTGAGGATGTGCTGGGGGCGGGCTGCGGGCTGCTGCCTCGCTCGCGTTCTCTGCTTCCCCTCCGGCTCCCCCCTGCCTTTTCAGGCCGAGCAGCATGTGGATGTCAGAGCCGCGGCAGAGCTATCCGATTACGCGCCGGCTCAGGGCCCGCCCCTTCTGTGTTCCTGATTAAAGAGGCAGCCGCGGAGACGCGCGGCGCAGAGCCGAGCGCCGCGGCACCAAACTCGGGCGGGGCGGTGGCGGCTTCCCCCGGGCCGCAGCCGGATCAAAGTTAAGGCAGCTCCCACCCCGCCGCCCCACTCCCACCCGGAACCTCCCGCCCACCCTGGGCTCCTCAGCTCCTGGCTACGCCGAGCCGCCCGTGCGTAAATGCCCCGGAGAAGGAGCGCCCCCGGGCAGCTCCAGGGCGCGCTGCCCTTGGCCGCGTCGCCGCCGCCCAAGGGAGACTCCGCGGGAAACGGGGAAACCCTTGTTCCCCCAAAGTCCCTGACTCCGATGCCACACACGTAGAACCCAACACAATGCCACGCGCAATGGCGTTACAAGAGGAGTTGGGTGGCGCACGGTGTTTGGAGTAGCGAGCGAGACGGCAGCTCAGCCATGCGTTCGCTCAGGCAGCAGTGCGTGGCGGCGACACACAACGCACAGCCCCGGCTGAATAAAATCCCAAATACCCTGCGTTTTCTCCTCAGATCCTTTGTTTTATCCCAAACACACTCCTCTCCTCCCTGGGCGATGATTTACTTCTCCTTTCGCCCCTAACTTGTAACTACCAGAAGAGAAAAGACTTAAAAGAATTTGTTCAGGTAATTAAACTGGATTCCTCCAACCCTCCCAAAACGGACAGGTACAAGAAGGCTTCTCCTCGGAATGCTACTGTAACTACTTATATACACGTTTTCCCCTTGAAAATGTGGCCACAACATGGGGTAAAAAAAGCAGCATTATGCCAACTATTAAATGGAGGTGTGAAAACTGTTTAGAGGGAGCTGCAAGCTAACAGTTGGGGAAACACTTGTATCTTTGTTTCTGAGGATGGCTTTGTGGATTCCAAACTGTCTTGTTTCACCAGGCACCTATTACTACATTATCCTAAAGACTCTAACAGAACAGTCTAAATCACACCCTGCATGTACCTTTTCTGCCACGCTGCAGATTAAGAAAAACAAAGTTTCCCTGACAAGAAACACACATGCACACACACACCTAACTATCCCATTTATTTCTTTGCTTGTACTTGTGGATTCTTCTGGGTGGTTTCCCTCCTTATCTGGACTTGCCATTAGCTTTGTTTATCACTTTTAGTGTTTGAAAAATCTGTAACTCCCACTTAACTGTTATTTACACTGAGATAACCAAAACAAAATTGAATCAGAAGTGATTTGCAAATAGTGAAGGCAAGCCATGGAGGGATTTTACAGTTCTGTGTAAATCCACGGGCTGCATATCACACTGTGAATCTTAGATGCCTGGTTTGAAAGGGCATTTAACAGACGCCTGGTGATTTCTTCCAGCCAGCATATCGCCAGGCGGCTGGACTAAAGGGCACCTTTCATTCCTTTCATTGTTTTCTCGTTCTCTCTTACTGCCTTCTTTCTTTCCTTCTTTCTTGGGCTTGAGAGCACATCCACAATATTAAAAACTCCAGATTTTCTTTTTTCCTGTTGAAATGTCAGCTAAAAGGAAAGACTGCCACTCCCCAATATTTAACAGAGTAAAGAGGTGGTTTGAATTTTGAATCTTAAGCAGAGATCCCACATTCTGGTCCGGTCAAGATGCTCACCTAAGAACACAGAACACCATCTACAGTGATGGTGCCTAAATGAAGAGGGTCATTTAGTATCACCTCCCCTCCGCACTGGCCAGGCCTGCCAGACCATTCCAGCTTGCAGCCAACTTGGAAGAATCCTGTTTCTGAGACCGTAATAGCCGGAGTTTAGGGGAAGGGCATGGGGAAGAGGACAGAGAGAAAAAAAACACAGAACAAAAAACTGAAGTTCATTGGGAAACCATAGAATGACAATTCTGGACTTCTGATCTTGGGGCCCCAGGGCTGAGGGTCTGTCTCCTCATCAGGCTGCTTCTAGAGTCCTTGATCCGGCAGAGAGAAGTGTCGGTTCAGGGTTCTGTGCCTGGACCTGGCTGCCAGCATGATGGATTTTAATTTTTCAGAGGTGTCCTAAAGGGGGAGCTAATTTACTTCCTGGGAGTCCTCAGATGGACTGCCGTCGGATCTCTTGTGAGCCCACTTGAGGAAAGGCCTGATATCCGGCAGTTGGACAGAGGTCTGGACAGTCTGGTTCAGAGGCTTTAGGACTCCATTTGTTAATCCTCTAGGGGGCAGCACTCAATAAATAATGGTAATAACTACCTGTGGTTGCACTTCTGGTGGTGCTTTTACTTCCAGAAGCTGGCAGCCCTTCATCAGACCAGCGGAGACTCAGGGTGAGACCAGGCCTCCCCCAGTCTACTCTGAATAAGATCCCGCGGGCCCAGGGAAGACTTAAAATTGCTTTAATCCAGGACTTCCAAGGACTCTTGGGAACTAAACACAAGTCCCACATGGGCCAGATGAAAAATTAACCTAGGGAAATTCTCCAGACGGGCTGGCTCAGGCCTGCCAACCCCCCGTTTTTTGTCTAGACTGGCATCTCAGGGGTTTGGCTGCAGTCGGTTTGGTTTCCATCAGAGGTGCAGGGGCGAGGAGCCAAGCACCATACTTTTCATCATTTTGTGAGTTCACATCCTTGACCCATGGAGAAGCCTGCCTACTAAACAGCTTGTGAACAGAAATACCGAATTGAGTAGAAAACAGCTAACCGGCAAGGCTGAGATTCCTGGCAGCATCACTGACTCACCTAGGACGGCTCACAGCACTATCCTTAATTGGGAAATAATAATAGGTAATCCCGCCCTACATTCCATTCCTTTGACAGGAAGGGATGTGGGGAACATAAAACAGATTTGTAAAAGATGCTAAGAGAAAGCTGTAACCTAGCCACACCCCAGTGGAAAGATGGGCGTTCCCAGCTAGGCTGTCCCAAAGCCAGCGGGCACATCAGGACCGCCCCGGGTGAGGTTAAACACTCAGGTCTCTCTGGGTGCCATCCTCCTGCAGGTTGGATTCCTTAGATCTGGGGTGGTGTCTAAAAATCTGTATCTTAACACCCATTTTAGGTGATTCTGATACAGGTCGATCAGCTGGAAACCTCTGTCCTGAGGTATTCTATTTACACATAGCCTTCGATATTTGTACTTTCATTGAAGGACACCTGGGTAAGTATTTTTTCACATTTCCTCTCTGGGTACTTTTTCAAATAGGGGGCACATATCTCAAGATTCAGGGTAAAGCCACCGAAAACATGGTCCTTAAAATGCCACAGTGGTGGTGGTGGGGGGGGGGGGCTCCCAGTGTGACCTTATGACCTTATTTAGCAGCAACAGCAAAGAGCCTATCTGAACACAGGAAAAGCTCAGGTGCAGGGCAGGAGGATCGCAGGAATACATCCAAAGTTTCAGCTGATAGGGTTAATGGACCCGGATCCAGCCCTTTTACCACCCACTCACTCAACCATTGGCTGTTACTAGGGGTTTGTTTCAGGTATGGTTCTCCATCTGTGTTCATCACATTGTACTTATTAAATGTTCATGGAAGCATGACTATGCAGGAGGTACGCAAGCAAGTAAGACATTTGGGTCTTGCCTCCTGGGAACGCAGGATTTAAAAGCTCCAGAAACTTCATGCTTCCACAATAGATACCACCTGTCACATGGTGCGTCCCCTTCTCTCAGCCCTGACATCGACAAGCTCTCACCCTGAAAGGGGGAGTTATGAGGCATAATTGTGTCTTAATCTGTAATTTACTACACTGCTTCAGTTAATATTTAGCTGCATCTGTCTCAGAGGCAAAGCTTCAGTTAAAATGTAATAGCTCCTCATTTTTTATTTTTTTGTTTGAAGCTAAAGTTCAGGTTTCTGGTCAATAAGGGTTTTCCCATTCACTCTTTAAACAATTAACATTTTTCTTTCTTTTCAACACACTTGAACACTGCCTGGTAGTTTCTATTTGATATTACCTTTGGTGGGTTCCCAGGATTATTCAGATTTCCATAGAGTATTGAAATCCCTTTCACTTAAACTGTGTCTCTCATCTCTCTCTCAGACACAGACACTGGATCAGGTGGGAGGGAACCTTATGAATGAAAAAAAGAACAAAAAGAGCAAAATGTGCAAAATTCATCCAAACATTCCTGGAATCCTTGCAAAGGAAACTAAAGTCATGTTGCTTTCTCTACTCCATTTGTCCTATGCATGAGGCTCAACCCCCTCTGCTACACTAATTTTTTATACACTTAAGGTTTAAGTGCTTCAGAAAGTACCCAATCAACGTCTCCCTTTAGAGCAACATTCTCTGATGTGATTCACTGCAACGTTGGAGGTATCCGTGCTCTTCAAATGGTTATTGGGTATTTGAAATGTGCTTGGTGTGACTGACTGAATACCATTTTATTAAATAGAATTTCCCAGCACTTCAAAATATACAGATTCTACATGTGTTTAATGGCTACCGTATTCAGCAACTCAGCTTTGGATAATCATAAGACCAGGGTATGAAAGTTCCCATTGAAGCCCAGAGAAATTCAGGCCCTTGTAAGTGTCTGAGGCTACCTTATCTGTTTACCAAAAAGTGAACCCCAGTATCAGCAGAGGCATCATTTGAAAACGTTTGGTGTCTCTTTAGTGAGGAAGAGAAGTGTTGGCTTGTATTATTGCCCATCGTCTGGTGTCCCTACTGTGCGCTCTTGGATGACTTTCTGCACATTCACCAGGAATCAGGGACTTCATGGTCCTCCCCAGGCTCTTAGCCTCAGCTTCAGTCCGCAGAAGAGAGAAGCAGGTTGGGGCAGCAGAAACCTGAGGTCAGGGCAGATGGACCTTAGCTCTCCACTGCTCTCAGGTGTCCTTGAAAAGTTTATTAATCAATATGGGACCAGTTTTCTCCCCTGTAGAAGGAAGAAGTTGATTTGAATGACAACTAGTCCTTTCCAGTTTTGAAT